ATGTCGGATGTGGCTGTTTATATGTTGAAGAGCGGCGAATTGCAATTTAGTATTGGCCAAGCGGCGCATCACATATTACACCGAAGCAAGACTCAGATCACATGACAGCAGCATGGCAGCATGAGCAGAGCGCAGCGAGATGAGCGAGTCCGTGGTTACGCAGACACAATGTTGGGGCGGGTGCGCAGAAAACCAGCAATAGCAACACAGCAATGCAGATTAATGTTAGCATCTCTAGCTTGGTGCTGGTTGCTTGGTCTACTGCTACCCCCATCACGTTGTCCTCAAACTTTCATCGTAGGATGCCTGTGCACGTAAACTGGCGATTATGCTGAGCCACAAAGACAATTGCGCGCGCCCCCGCCGCCCGCCGCCCTTGGAAGAACGAGCCGTCTGCGTAAAAGTGTAGTTGATATCCTGGATGGTTGCTGTAGGGTGCCAGCTCGAGGGCTCACTGTGCTGCATCCTCAAATACCGCATGTTGCTGAAAGTTGTTCTACTTCTGGCCTCTGCTGTGTGGCAAAAGATGCATTGCTCAAACGATGATCAACTGTAGGCTCAGCTATGGCAGCGATCTGTGCAGACGTAGCTATATGATGTTCGGAGTCTCCTGACAGGGGGGGGGGTCCAGAGGTGACCCCTCAGGGCCTCCATACATTCGCAGCTCAGCCAAAGGCTGCGGCGTCCCTTGACAGTGATCGCCCCCGTTGAGGGGCTCTCCCTGAGACGGCCAACTCCAGGACGGTGACATGCTCCCAACGATCGACTGCTGATCTGAATGGATATGCTTTGCTGGGTGCTCTTGGCCTACACTCGCTTCTCCCGTCGGTGTTTGCGACCTTGGCTCGGCTGGACCGACTGGCAGAGAGTTGGCTGGCGGCGTGGCCTTGTCGGCCTGGCGGACTGCCACCTTTGGCACGTCCGTTGCTTGAATGGCGTCGGCAAGGACCGTGCCATGCAACCCCCCAGAGGGGTGAACTTCCGTGCCAGAGGTGAGGGCATCCTGCTCGGTCGCGGCTGCGATTGGGCAGGTTCTGACCCCAAACTACTTTCCTCCGAAGCCCCTGAGTCCCGAAGAAGCGCAGAAGGCGGGGAGGCCGAGGGTTCGCCATGTGGGCCGAGCTTGGCTCTCGGGATTCCCTGGATGGGTTTTCGGAGCCGTGGCAAAGATGTTGAGTGCTGAGCGCTTCCTGATTAGCACTGGAATCACCGGTTGCATTGTCTCAACTCGCAGTTTGCAAGGGGTGTTGTCACGGTTCAGTTCGCATGGGTGAAGAAAACGGTGAGGACAATTGTTGTTGCCGGGTGAGTAGCGTACGCCCTTCACCTGGCTCTGACTCTCACCGAGGGGAAAAATGTGGGGCAGTTGTTGGCGTCACATCCTCGACCCTACTTTCGATAAACATCAGCAGGTGTTGTGCAGTGGAATGCGGTGCGCCAGGTGTGGTTTGTGGCATGACTTGCCTCACTGCCCTTTTTGTCGGTGCTTGTGGCCTGTGGATGGACACTGGCCCCGTTGGAATGCTGCCTTGGGAATGAAGCGAAACTTTGGTGCGTGCCAGAATGGCACAGCTGTGACGGCGCATCTGCGATCCCCCGCGAAAAACATGGTGGGGTGTGGGGCGGCGTCGCCTGCGTCCGAGTCTAGATTCTTCAGCTTACGCTTTATACAGGCGGGTGCCTCTGGGACAAAAACTCCCAGGTACAGGCACTACTGCGAGCAAATGTTCGCGCCCATTTGAGTGTTGAGCATGCTTCTTTTGTACGAGCATGCCTGCGTGCCTCATCTTGCCCCACGTGGTCGAAGTCGCATTCCTGGGTGTAGTGCGCTTGAGCCTCGAGCTGGAATATGAGACCTCTCAGCTTGCATTCTGTTGACGCAACGAGCTATGGTTGACGTAATCCAGGTGCATGTATATCGTTCTTATCGTTTTCTGTTTCCACATTCGGTGGCGTCTCCACGCTATCGGAAAATCTGGTGGGGGTCGGTGAGAACGTGAGTTCCAAACTCAGGAATTCGTCTTGGTGACCGTGATATGTCCGCGGGTGGGAATGATAGACGAAGTGGACGCGGTGAGATAGTCTCTTGAGGGTTGATGTGCTGTCCCTGCCCTTCCAACAATCCCATGTTTCCAACGAATCGATTGAGCTTGTCTCGGGCTAAATGAAGGGTTCCCTGTTCACCCTGGGTAGCCCTTTGCAAGTATTCAGGATGGCGTCGCCGAAGGCGCTATGGGCGCCGAGCGTGGCGACATCTGGGTTAGGTCGCCCTTCTCCATGCTCGTGCACAGATCCATTCAGCCAACTTCCAAGCATCTCGTTGCGTGGTGACCAAGGCGTGACTATGGGATATAACAATATATGTTTGACATGGCACATTCTGTGCACCAGAACATCCAGTATATCCTCTGCCATACTCCATGGCAGAACTCGGTCTCGCATCTCATTTGTGAGCATAGCCGTGTCGAGTGCTGAGTGTGTTTCAGTAGGAGCGCGTCTCATGTTGGTGAAGCTCGGAACGTAGTTGTTACCATGCTCTGGTGATGCCCGACTGCATTGATGAGGCGCTGAAATCTGAAGTGATTGCGCATCTGGGTTTACTGTCCCGGCTGTGCCGCCATCCCTTGCGTGGGCGCTGCATTCTGGGCACTGAAGATGTCATGTAGCTCTTCTGCGATCTTGCTCTCTAGCCTGTTCAGCGCCGCTTTAAGGTCGTCGACCTCGTATTTCAGCTCCGTGGCTTGGGTCTCGAGAGTGTTGATCCTCGCGTAGGTGTTATGGAGATTCTCCGGGGCTCACGGAACACGTTACATAGTTTCGGATTTTTGTGCAGCGAGTGGCTTCAATTGGTCCACTGCATACTTTAGCATGCTTATTCTCTCTTCCTCGCGTAATATTCGTCATCTGGTGTGCGATCCTTCGCCGCAGCCATTGCAATTCTAGCAAAGACGAGCAGGCGGCTGCAACGATCGTCCTTGTAAACCCAATGTTGCCGAGAGTCTTTGGCGCTTTTAACTCCTCCCAGTTGTCGTGGGCCTCTCCGAACGGCTCGGTGGCTTGGACTACGTGCTCGACGAGCTTCTGCGCCGCCAGCTCAATGCCGTCGTGCTGATCCCTCGGACGACGGTCACGTTTGTCGTCTCGACGCTCGGCTTGGTCTGTGCGCTGGTCCGTCTCGAAGGAGTAGCACTTGCCTTGCGATCTAGCTTTGCTTTGAGTGGCACTGTAGCCGACGGCTGTCGTTTCCCGCTGGGTGCAAGGCTGGCACTGCGTCTTCGTCGTACGTCGGCATGCCTGCCACAGGAGCAACATCGATGCCAGCTTGCGTCGTGCTGCCCACGCAGGCATGTCCAGCCAGGAGCGGCGCCGCTCATGTCCGCGGACGACTTGCGTGCACCGCACCGCGCTGGCGTCCACCGAGGCGGCGTCGATCCTCGTCCCCGGAATGGTACGGTGCAGATCAGGAGGGAAAGAAACACACAGACACAATTAATCGTCGATCCCCCGGAAAAGATGGGAAAATATGGGAAGTGGTGGGGGGACCATAACCCCGAAACTATTGGAAAATATGGGGAATCTTATTACTTGTGTGAACTTAGTTGTGTGCCCCCAGGGCTCCTTCAGCAGAGCCTGTTGGCCCTCGGAGCCGAGAGGCTATGCACCGCACTGCGCCGGGGCGTGGCCCGAAGGGAGCCCGAGCACGGCACGTTGCCCATGGCACGGCGTCCTGGCATGCGTCTGTGTTCTCGGCGTGGTTGCTGGGCATGCTGGTGCCTCTCGAGTGCGCGCGCAGGGTGAATCGGCTAGAGTCAGGCTTCAGACACCTGCTCCCGAAAAGCTGGGCCCGCGTTGCTGAACCAACCTGCCAGGAAGCCGGCCCAGTTCCTGGAGCGCGGCTGCCCCTTCCGCGTGAACGCCAGACATTGTCACAGGCTTGTGTTAAGAAACCTCCAGGGCGCTGGCCCAGATTTCTTAAACGGAGGTTTTCTTGATCATATTTTCGGCCGTGCACGTAGGAGCGACCCTTCGCCGGAGTGACCTTTGGCTCATCGGGGCCCCCCGATCGCCGAGTGCGATGCCATAGCAGCGGCCTGCGCGCTTGGATTTGGCCCCGAAGCCGCGCACCAGAGGTCACTCTTGCCCATGGGTCGCTCCTGCGTGCAGCCGAGCGAAAACGACATGCATGCAGCGGGAGCAGACTGCCTTCGGAATCCGGTCCACGCCTTCACCCCGCGCGCTCCCACGCTCACGCTGCGCCACCCTGCGGGCGGAGGTGATCAGCGAGGTGCCAATCCCCTGGGGCTGTCCTCGGACAAGCGCCGCTCCTCATCGTCCTCGTTTTCCCCCACATCCGTTCAGCATCGGTCCCTGGGGCCCTCCAGGGGTAAGTACATTCAGGCGAGTTGTTCGAGCTGCGCCAGGCCGCGGGGGCGAGAACCTCCAGAGATGCCCCAAATACCTCGACGCTCGATCCCCGAACCTCCCAGCAGACCCCTCTGCCTGGACTCTCCCTGGAACGGAATCCCTCCCTTCTCATCCTCTACCCGTCCTGAAGGCTCAGGAAAACAGGCCTGGTTCCCTGATTCCGATGCGATCCGACTTCGATGTCCTCCTCCCGATTCCGTTTCCGGCCCAAGCCAAATTTCCGTTACCGATTGATTTCGATTGGATCTGAAGATTTCGATTCGATTCCGAGGATAGAGGGAGTTGTCACCTCTTTCTCGGCGGAAGGACGGCGGAAGGACGGCGGAAGCCCGCGGAAGTTAAAATTGAGGCCACCTCCGCCGCCGGAAGCCGTGGGAGGGCCGGCGGAAGCCAGCGGGAGTAAGAATTGCAGCCCCAAGAGATGGCAACGTTTTTGGGTTCAGGGTCTCCGGAACCAACCATCATGATTGGATTCGGGAGCCTCGAGACGGGGGTCAGTGCAGACGGGGGTCAGCCAGAGCGCCGGATCTTGCAGGATATTGCAGCGCCAGGGTCGCATTGAACCGGGTTTGGGT